GGGGGACATACTCTAATTTTTTTTTTTTTTTTAATGTACTGATTTTTACATGCACATTTTATAGCAATATAATGCTAATGGACTGGTATTAACATAAGGCCTGTTCGAGATCTTGGTCAATCTTGGGTACGCGTTATATTCATTAAGCCTTAATATATCGTAATGTTTGTACTTTAAACTAAACCCCAATCCCCAATGTATCCTGACTGAAGTTCATAATTATGGATTTCTGATCATGACTGACTCACGTAAATACTCCTCCGCCCCAGCCTGCCATGGCCGTGAAGATTCTAGGACCCAGATCCCTCGCTGGATTGATGGCGTAGCCACAGTTGAGTCCAAAAGTCGCTCCAATGATGAATACGGTCAGACCGATGAGGATCGGGGCGACGCCCTTGTGAGGGGCATTATTGTTCTTGTCGAGAATTGCGAATATGCACCCGACCAGCAAAAATGTTCCGAAAACCTATAAATAATAAGAGATTACGAACTGATTGGTTTGTGAACTGATTACTTTCTTGCACTTGGAGGGGTTGATTGATTTATGGAAGGATGGATTGAATAGGATAGATGGATGGATGAATTAATGGGCAAGCTATCGATGTAAGAATTGATGAATGGACATATGGATGGAATGGGATAGATGAATGGCAGAAGTGGATGAAGTGGATGGAATAGATGGGAGGAGATGAGATGCAAGGATTGTTGAATAGATGGATTGATGGAAAAGGATGGTTAGCATGGGATGATGGATGGAATGAATACATAAATGGATGGAATGAGATGAGATGGTTGGATGGCGGATTGGATAGATCGATTGAACAGCGAGCGTATAAATTCCAGTGCCCTCACCTGGTCTCCAAATCCACCCCTAATGGACAAATATTCCTGAGGGTATGTGGCCCATATGCCTGCTGTAGCATTAGGACCTGTGATTTGACGAACACCACCATCGAATGCGTCGAGAGCGTCTTAATGTGAGATAAACAAATGCATCAAATAAGAGAACTAGCCAAAATAATAAGGTTACTGTTAAATTAATACGACAGCGTGCACCGTGCTGTGCCTTGGCTGCGTTGTCTTACTGTGAATTTATAATCATAAAGCTGTTTTCGTACGACTTTTAAAAACTCAGTGCCGTAAGCGCACCGTGCCGTGACCGTGGGCTTTTCTTAGAATTATCTATTCCTTCAATTTAAAAATAATTTTGTAAAGAAATGGCGGGAGAAAGGCAGATGATCATCACAAAGACCCCACGCTTTATCTTACATTTTGTTTTAACTTTTCTATAAAGAGAACGAATGATTAAACAGTATTTCAAGGCAAACATAGCTGGATCTATCCCAGTCAAGTGTGTTTTCCAAGCATTTTTTAAAAAAGCACTTCATTTCAATGACAATGGAGAAGCTAAAAAATGTTTCGTTAAAAATGGTCTTTTTCAAGCAAATTTTACTTAAAAAGAATTAAAATGGAGAAGAAAAAAAGGTTTCCAGTTAAATGTGATCTTTTTTTCAAACAAGTTTCAAAAATTAAAATCTATTGAAAAAGTCCATAAATTAAAGCATATTCCTTTCTCATTCACATTTAAAAAAAATTTATATCATTTTATCAATTTAGTGCATATTAACGAAATTCTCTTTCCTTTGGGTCAATATGAAATGAAACAAACCCATACCAAGGTAAACACCGTAGACACAAGCAGATGCAAAGAAAGCCCCAGACAGCTGGGCTAGCCAGTAGACAGGTACTTTGGTCCAACACAGTTTCCTAGCAACCGCAAAGGCAAGTGTGACTGCTGGATTCATATGAGCTCCTGATATAAAGAAGATAGATATACAGCACTGAGATATACTTTAAATAAAGCCACTCATATGCTTTAGATGATGTCTTTGCATTGCTTGTCATTTTGACCAGTAACATATATATTGAGCCTGAGAAATGAAATATGACCATCCAAAAAATATCTTGGTTGGTGCGTGATCTTGACAACCGATCTACTGTATGGCCATTTAGATTTTAAGCCCTGATTTGAATAAATTATCTTCACTAAGAAGCTTTTAAGCGTAAAGGTTTAATGATTATAATACATATATATATGTATATATATATATATATATATCCTTAAATATATATACCCTAAACAAAGCTAATCTAACTCTTTATATACTCACCAGATATCCCACCGGCCCAATAACAGCCCAGAGTTATTCCAATACCCCAGCTAAAATTCACGGAAAAGAATGTGCCTTTGGTCTCACGGCTCAACACCATCTGAGCAATAGAGCCACATCCAAAAGTCTTTGAAAGAAAATAATTACAGATAAATTTTAATCCTTGTTGGTCATTAATAGCATGATCAAAATCAAATATTCTGACTATAACAGACCAAACTAGATTTTTCCGGTTTTTGAAGTACAAGAATTTTTTCCTGTTTTGAGTTACAAGAAATAATTTTTAAAAATTAGGTAGAACAATTGTTCCTAAAATGTATTATGTGGGGATTAAGAGAAGGTAATGATGTTTAAAAAGCTGATGGTCTAGGATGAATATGAAAGAAGGCATTTTTCAAATTACAATATTAAAGAAATTAAAATTATGAGACTAAACTTTTATGACCTAGCTACATAGGATGCATGCATTTATATTTCATGAGTACTTACGACAAGTATGAATGTTGCCAACAACTCTGCTATCGCCAGCCGCAACATCTCTGGTGCTTTACACCTTGGAAGACTGGCCATAATGTTTACAATTTACTCAGAAAACCAACTAAAAGGCAAAAGAGAATATTTGAATGGCAGTTGTGAAAGTTATCTAAACACAGCTGTAACAGTTATAGATGTATCTTATAACTACTGGTTAAGCAGTTAGAAGATTGAGCAATGAACCCAGATGAGTTGAAAATTACACTCTCTGTATGAATTCAAAATAGCAGTGGGTTAAAGTGGTTTTGATGATTGAATGACAAAAGAATTCTAATTCAGTTGTTGATTGGACAGAAAGCAATATATGATAAATGCTAATCAATGTATACCAGGGACATAGGAGCCAGGGTGGCTAAGAGTGCTACAGTCTCCCCCTCCCCCCTCTTTTTGAGAAATGATTTTTCGCATTTATTATCTTCAATAATGCTAAATCACAATATTATAACTAAATTCTTATATTCAAAAATAGGAGAAGCAATTGGCTCATACCAGCAGGCATATACTTTCTATTTTTAGACTATGAGACTTTAAGTTGGGTGGATAAATTTAGTACATTTATCTGCATTTAAAAACTCATTAATAATTCATGAAGRAAACACAATAGAAATCATGACCATGAAGGAGGTTTTATATCTGATATAGATTCGTCTTCATTTGCATAAACTTTAACTTGGATTTTCTCTATCAAACTTGGTTCATTTCGTAAAGAATTCGGTACAGTATGAGAACATACATCTGGGGTTTTTTAAGCCGTTTAATAAACTCGCAGATCGTGTTTTATCGGGTCTAAAACCACTCGGCTACGCCTCGTGTTTTATACCCGATAAAACACTCTTGCTCGTTTATTAAACAGTACATAGAACATAAATTAAAACATAAAACCTTTTTTTGTGTGTGTGTGTGTAACCAAAGGGGAAGGGCCGGATTTTCAGAGGGGACGGACATCAGTAAAAATTCTAAAAAAGCTGACTTTATTGGAGGGTCATGAATTATGAATTTCTTACTGATTGAAAGAGGTAGGGCTCAAACCATTTTTCAAATTTTACTACGAATCCCCAACCTTCCCCCACCCCCCACGTAATTAAAAAATGTATCTAACCTAGTAGAAGTTGCTTACATAGATATACCAAACTGTGTAGATGCTATTTCAAAATAACGGTTATTTTAAAAGCGCAGTTAAAAAAAGAATATAAAACGAATAAATCTTTGAACAATTGCGCTAGAAATATCGTGATAGAAATTGACGTGATGTATCTCATGTTGTTGATATCAATGCATCACAATGTTTACTATGAATCAAATAACTACCAAGCAAAACAATTAAGAAAAGATTAACCTTTAGTACATATTCCGAGTTTAATATTGACCTTAAACTTAAACACGTCTTCAACCTATATATATGAGTGTCTAAGGGTAGGTCAAAACACATTTTTAAAAGCAAAAWTAGATTTAGAAAATAGATTTGTCTCGAAAGTTACGTAACCTTGTATAAAGTCTCCCTGTTGCATAAAACCTCAAATATTTTCAGAAAATATTATAAAGAAACAATTTACCTCTTTATTTAAAGCTTTTTTCAGGTGCCAGTTTGGTGAGAATTGTTTCGTAGTCTAGATCTTGTAGTCTTGAAAGTCGTGACAAGATATCAAATTCGCGCGCAAATGAATGAATAATCACGTGATTAGTTATTCATTTCATGAGAAATGTAAATCATTTATTACTTTAACGTTTTTAAAAAAGCTATAAAATCTTAAAAATCACAGTATTTTTCCACAATTTTTTTTTTTTCATTTCCAGGATTTAAAAAATGAGCTGTGGAGAATATATATCGAATGTTTTTTGACTAATTAATTTTACGACCTAAGATCTGTCGCAGGTGGCGTAAGAGGTTGTAATGTTTTGGTCCTGTCATCTTATCAATCGCTTGAGCCATTTTGTGACAGATTCAAGAGTCCGATTCATCTCAAATGACTCAACGAGAGAGTTTTGGCTTCTCAAACATCATATGGGCGTTCCACACTCCCGAACTCCTTTTGACCGATTCATAGCTTTCAATGGACGTCATTTCTAGTTAATTGCATGTCTTCGTAAAGAGAGGATCCTGAAAAGGGGATCCTAATCCCATTCCCAGCCCCCACTTTGACCAAATCTTATAATTCCGGCCATCCTATCTCTCTTTTCATAAAATCGCATTTTCCCAGCTCAAGAGAGGCGCGCGAATTCCAGCTCCCATTTTACCCCTTCAGGACCTTCTAATTTAAAATGGCCACAATAGTTCTGCATGCGCAGTTTCATTCCCTTGGTACAAAATAATTTTTTGGGAGTCAATTTTACTTTAAAAATGGAGTTGAATCCGGGCGACAATGATGACAGAATGACTCCTATTTTGGAGTTAAAATAACTCCACTGTATTTAGAATGAATATGATTCCCGGTGGAGAGTAACAACAACTCTTTATCTGAGCTAGAGTAATTGAATTCAATCCCTTGTGGGATTTTATTTCAAGGCTTTGGAATAAAGACGGCCAATCAATAGGTTGCTATGAAAAGACGTCGCTTCCGGTTATAACTATTTTTTGTGGCTTGTAGAATCTTGGAGGTTGTTTTGATCTCTTGTTTTCTGGTTTCATGTCGTAGAAATAGTCAAATACAATAGTTTGAGGACTTATTTTGACATGTTTGGACTTAGCATCCGCTAGTTGCCCCCCAGTCAACTCCAAAAAAGTCACGTGATTGATAGTAAGCAATTAATCACAGTTAATATCAAAAACTTTATTTACATTCGAATTTTAAATGACTCTCTTTGAGTAAATAAGGCGTAATGATTGTAAGCCACCTATATATGTTCAATAACTTATTTATGATCTTAATATATACAGTCAATTCAAAAAACGTTGTCGTCGACCGTCTCAAGCCTAAGCGACTGGACCGAAAGGAATATGGGTAAAAATCACTGAAGCGGTTAAATATTCGTTCTGAATTAATTGTTCCCGCTAGTAATAAGATAATRATGGCGAGAAACAATCCATCAAATTCATGTCTTCGGGTTTAGGGAAAGAAAAACAAAGTAGTTATGATTCAGTTCACAATTTCGAAAATGTGAAGGCATTAAAAAAACGTCTCCTTCAATATTTAATTCCCGCTCGCCTACGAAGGTTCGTGCTGTAAACCAGGCATAACTAGTCAGATAAAATTATGGAGTCAACTCAGATTCAATGATTGCTACCYAGAGTTCCTTTCGGTCCAGTCGCGTAGGCTTGAGTTGGTCTACGGCAACGTTTTTTGAATTGACTGTATCTATAAGATGTACTCCGCTTAAAGGTCCAATAGCATCTGAATATCTTCGTTTAGGATTTCCATCCAACGTTTTTTCTCTTGGCAACCAAAGTCGTCGTTCGTCACCTTAGCAACAAGGTTGACTGGTTCCTTGGAAAGTGGCGGTAATGGAACCGGAAGCTGTTCTGCTCTAGATCTTTGAGTGCTGTTCTTTGAATTCATTGTCCCGAATGAGGCAACACTGCACGCTTGTGAAACTTTGAAAATACTTTGCAGACCTACTGACCGTTTTTCGTTTATCGCCATGTTTTTGGTATTGAAGATTTGGCCTCTGAAAACAGTAAATAGAATTGGAATAAATCAATAACGCAGCGCACTGATTCTAAAAATAGCTTAAAGATTTGGACAAACATTGCATCGGTTTAACCGCTACGAGGATTATACGAACCGATTCTATCATTTTTATTCAAAGATACAACAATAACCCATGAAAACTAAGATCAACTGCGATCGGCTGTGAAAATTATCTGCTGAAAGTAAACTTGTAAGTTTGTTTGTCCGAATTTCGCCTTTGTCTTCGTTTTTATGACGTTACGGTTGACCACATTCATGGTTCCGWCTCCATCCCAAGTTACCACAAGCTCAACAAATTATCTAGAATATCTCAGAATATGAAACTCTGATTGCGGAAAATTGATTACAATTGTTGTATGTCTAGCATGAATAAAAATCCCCCTGGTGATCTACTCCGTTTTGCCGGTGTCCAAATAGTAAAAAGAACAGTCAAATAGACACAAAAGAAATCAATGGAATTAGGGTCTACGCGTATTATTYTTATATCTATTTCACGGGTTAAATGCCTTCACTCTTTCACGGCTCTATTGGTATTTAACTGCTACTACTACTACTTTATTTAAAAAATATCCATACCAGCGCACGTCCAGCGCAAGTGACAATGAAATAACTATAAATACTTTTCTAATCGATAAATAGCTGCTTAAAAATATTATTTCCAATTGTCATAGTTCAAGAAATGTAGAAATTTTTTTGTTAACTCGGATACTTACAACAAATCAGTTTTCCAGGTATTAAGGCTACCGTGTAGATGCTTGATGAATGACCAATGCAGAATGGCTGGGATCACCGTCTTGACCGGCAATTTGTTCAACCCTGATGTCAGCCAGGATTACAAGTATCAATCGGGGCGGGGACGGCGGAGAATATTTTAAAGGGGGGAGCAAGTCTCTCTTTTTATTCATATCATACCTCAAACTAAGGGTATTTAACTCTCGTAATAAGTGTACGGGGGCTAAAGCACCTCCCCCGGCTCCGCCGTCTCTACGAAGACTACCACCTTAACATGCTTTACGTCATCTAATAAGAAATGTCTCAGGGATGACGACTTTATCTCCACACCCTGATTAGGATAAATTTCGAGCTTCTCTACTAATAAAAGGCGTGTTTTAAAAGGTCCAATTAAAGACGGCGGGTTCGGGCTGAGACGTTTGCTTTAAAATCCACTTTTTCCTCTCAAATGAAAACGAACAACAATGACTGGTGATCTACGTGTAGATATATGACATACTAAGATTTCTCCACGTACCCCCTCCCCTCGGGAAGAAAATCAAGCATTATGATTGGTTTGAACTTACGTGTTTTTACGCCTTAACGTGTTAGTTCAAAGCATAAGCCATTTGACAATTCCCTGACAAGTGAACGAAAACAAGCGTTTCCGTAGTAACCATGACTTAATAATACAGCAATGAGTTAAGGGTCGTGCTTTTCCATAGTAACTATGACACAATAATACAGTATTACCATAGCAACGAGAAAAGGGTCGTGCGGTTTCCATAGTAAAAAAATATGTGTTGACGCACAAAGACACTCCTACTGAACGACATAGAAAAGAAAACAGATTTTAATTAGGGCTAAGATTAATTTGAGCTAATTAGTAGTAATTGCTCGTATAGGTTTGAAACGACTTCTCCCGACTTTCATAAAAATCACAACAATAACAAGAATATATTAAAAATTTGCCACAGCACGACTCATATCAAGCTTTACTCTATCGTTGGAGTAGAGAAAGCTCACTCCATATATGGTATGATCAATTCCATATTTGGATTGTGCGGAAAAGCGGCAAACAAAAAGGCAGTCGTTTTACAACGAATTCGACATGAACATTTTTGAAGAAGAAAAGAAAAGAAAAAAAAAGACAAGTAAAAAAAGACAAACTTTGGAAAATCGAGGAAGGATACGGGGACGATGCTAACTCGTGGGTCTGCCTCGCAGACAACAGACACAGGGAAATACGACACTCATTGTTTGATATGATATATGGTGTGCCGGTTTTGAAGCGTTTATAACCAAGAGTTGACCGCGTTCACCGAAAGGAATTATAGGTCAACTGTCTTTGGTTACTGAGCATTTTCTGAATGAGGACTTAATTGTTGCAATGTATAGATTTCTCTTGTCGATTGAAATGGAATTTATGAGTTCGACTATAGCCTTTATGATCAATTTAATGAATGAAGAATTCGTATTTCATGGGTTTTCTGGGCATAATCATGAGAAATGCTAATCAAAATATGATGTTGAATCCTCAATTCTGATTGTTTGACCTTGAGGTCAATTCAGGTGGAAGTTTGCAGAAGGTCAATTATCTAGTTTTGCAGTATAATTTTTCAATAAACCTATCTAGCTTCAGGTTTTCTTAATGCTTTCAAGCCGCCATTTTTCTTGTTGAAAACTGTGGGTTTTTATGAGTTTCTTAATAGCTCCGTTAAGAAATGCTTTCGTGCAATATAAAGAAAACGTCTGTCAAATTCCCAAAATTTGTTTTTTTTATTCCTCCCCCCCCTCCCCCCCACAGTTTTGATTTCACTTACGTCACTCTTAAACGTCTCATTTGCAATCAGTGACGTCATAGTCGCCATGACAACAATATATGGTGGACACATTTGATGTTAAATCATTACAATTAACTTGGAAACGATTTTAAATCATCTATAGTGTTAGTAGCTTTTCGGTTAAGCACACATTTGAGCGCATTATACAATGATACTAACAGAAGATGACATTATTCAGAATGTCACAATTAAACTACGGAATTCGTTAAAATTAAAATAAAAAGTCTGGTAGGACCCTGATGGCAATGAATCTCTTTCGTTAGTCAGTGTAGAGCATCCGAATAAAATACAGAAAGCTATTGGTTCAATTCCCATCAGGGACGATTGTCGGATTCTAGTCGGATGCTCTACCACTGACTAACGAGAGCATAAAATAAAATAATATGTTGCTAATAATATACTATTTAGTTCATATTACATTCTCTACTTCGATCAGTACGACCCTTTTGCCCTTCGCTTTTCTCGTGTTGAAAAGATCTCTCTCTTGGGCTCACTCCTTAAAGATCTTTCCGACACTCGAAAATCATATTCGAATCTTTGCGCGCCTTTGTTTTTCCCACTTATTAAGTTTATATTGCACTCTCTAATTCAGCATGACAGTTTTTGCCTTTGTTTTCGGACTCAGGAATCAAACAGGGATCGCCTTCATTCTGCATTGATCCAGACTTCTCGTTGTCTTCCAGCTGGTCTTTCTTGTTGGGGTGATGCAGTTCAACGAAGAAGATGTACAGACCCGCACCCAGTACCCCGCCAAGARAACAGGCAACACAGGGAACCCACCACCAGTGATTTCCAGCTCTGAAGTCGAAATATACGCAGTCATGATATCATTGCATTGGAGTACATTTGGTTTGAATAGTATGAAGTTTAAGCGTTGTGATTGAATTTTAAAAAATCGCGCGATGCTAGGTCAACGACTGTGCGAGTAATCAAAAGGGGTTCCCCAGAGTCTCTAGCMTTTGATCGAGCATGCGCAATAAGAGTGAAAGGGCTCTGGGGTCGAGAATGTAAACAAGTGCCAGGACTCAGCATCGTCACGGCCATAAACCTTTCACATCAGTCACATGAATATGAAATCATTCAGAATTTCAACCACGTGAAGCCTTCCCTGCTAGCAGAGTCTCTCTTCTCTTTCTCTACCTTCTTTCAAGCGGGGAGGAAGGAGACTCTGCCGATGTAGAGCGTTTCCCTTGATACACCCTCGTCCACGATTGTGGACGAACAAAACCAGTTTTAAAACCGGTTTTTAACCGATTACTTGTAGTGCGCATGAGCAAATGTAACACACCGTGGCGCCGAACATTGTTTGACGAGAGCGGCTGTCAAAATCATGACAGCGTTGCTAAGTTACGCCACGCATGCGCGACAGAAATAACGTCCTACATCGGCAGAGTCTATTTTTCTCTCTCAACCAAAACAAAAGGAAAATAGGCTATGCTAGCAGGGAACGTGAAGCCGTAATCTTGATTATTTATACTCACGTAAACACTTCAGATCCCCAGCCTGCCATGGCAGTAAAGATCCTCGGTCCCAGATCTCTCGCAGGGTTGATTGCATAGCCGCAGTTAAAGCCGAATGTGGCACCAATGACGAACACAACGAGTCCGATGAGGACTGGAGCGATTGTTTTGTCCGGACCGACGTTGAACTTGTCGACGATGGCGAAGACACAGCCAACGAGAAGTGCGGTGCCAAATAACTTTACAAACAAAAGAAAGCTTATCTTAGACTTTAGTGGTTTGTTGGACGACTAAATCAGTTTTAGACGCAAAGCTTTCCATTGGCTGATCTAAGTCAGGGCGCAGCTAACCAACTCATCGAATAGACCAGTTTCGAATTCCAAATTACCGCTGTGTTCCTTGATTACAGACTCATTTGCACAGGGTTAGCCTCGTATCAGTGTTTAAATATTCACAAATACCAACAGAAAAGTAAAGAATGCACAACTACAACAATACAAACATTTTGAAACTCGACGGACCTTGACTGGAACACGTGAATATTCTGCACGAACTCGAGGCTAAGCCTGTGCAAATGAGTCTGTAATCAAGAAACACAGCGGTAATTTGGTATTCAATTGGGGTCTATTGGGTCAGTTTTACGCGGAGGAAGTGGAAACGCAGAATAGTCCATTTGCTCTTTACCAATCTAAACATATCAGTCATACCTGATCGGCAAACCCGACTCCAGTGGTCAGGAATTCCTTYGGATAAGTGGCAAATATCCCTGCTGTTGCAAGCGGTCCAGTTACTTGTCGAACGCCACCATCGAAGTGATTTAACGCATCTGAAAATAGATTTGGATATAATATATTCAGTACCGCTACTGCTACTGCTACTGCTACTGCTACTGCTACTGCTACTGCTACTGCTACTGCTAC